CCCCCGCCGGGCCGGGCGGCTGCCGGGGGTAGAGGCGCGGGCCTCCTCCTGGAGGAGGGCAGGCAAGGGGAGATGGGCCCCAACACCTCCGGGCCCCACACGCCTTACGAGGGAAAGGGTGTCCCGGCACATCACTCCTGTCCCTGCAGGGAACCCTCTCCGGGAAAGACCCACGGGCAGGGGTTTCCTTCAGAAGACGGAGGGACGGACCTGCCCCTCCCCCGCCCCCCCCAACCCCAGGGGGACCCCGCGACACTCCCGCAGCGGGGGATCAAGCCCGGGGCCGCCCTCATCCGCCGACATCCCTTTTTCCGGGCGCCCCACGCCCCAGGCCCACCCGCCCGGCTCCCCCAGGGGCCGACAGGCTGCCTTTCCCCGGAGGATGGGGGGGTCCTACCTGCCGCAGGAGGCTGAGCCAGCTGCCGGGGACAGGAAGCGCCCAGAACCCCCCCCGCGGGGTGCAGGGAGTCGGGTCCTGCCCGGGAAACGTCCAGCGACGGGTGTAGGTGCGCCCTCGATGTCCCCCGACGGGGCGGGAGGGCAGCCGGAGGGTCGGGCAGCTCCGGAGCAGGCAGGGGCCAGGGCTGTGGCGCTGGGGCAGGGCAGAGTGCAGTGATCATCACATTAATATTTGACAGGGGCATCGAGTGGCAGCGCAGCAGCTCATCGGATGGCACCAGTGCCGGTCCTGGAAATAGCGGCTCGGTTGCTTTGCCTCATCCAGTTCCTCGGGCCAGTGGAGAGTAGTCGAATCTGGTCACGGTGCCTGCCCACACACATCACCAGGCCAGGTTTTGGGGACATAGAAAGGGGTTTTGCACTGGCTGGCACAGCAGGGAAATACCAACAGCGAGAGATCTTTGGCAGAGGGATCTACCACACCATTGCTTGAGCGCCTGTTATCAATATTCAGCCACGTTTGTGTTCCTTCATTCCACTGCCATCCATTATATATGTCCAGGACAGATTAGTGGGGCTTGGTTACACATGAGAAATTCCATCGAGGAGCTGGAAGAGAATCAAGGAGCAGCAGATCAAAGCCTTTAAACACCGATCGCACAGCAAGGATCCATTACAGATTCAGCCTCTTAATCCCTCCCAGGCTCTGGTGTGGGCTGAGCAGGATGGCTTATGTTGGGGGACGAGCTGACACTGCCCTGCAACGCATCCGCAGCACCAGAGCAGGTCACACTGACAGCAGCACAGTGCCCTGCAATATTCATGGGGATCTACTACGAAACACGGGAACACAGCCCAGTGCTGGAGGTGCCACACATCTCAGGTTAAGCAGACAGATGTTGCAAGCTGTGACACGAGCCACACATGAGCCCATTCCCATCTTGTTGCCCGCAGGCATGGTGGGGGAGGGCCAGAGCTTTGCCAGTTCCTGGGTCAAGGGGGGTTTTTTGCCAAAAGCCCTGTGAGGGTTGGATCTCCCTCCAGGTACTAGAAAACCACTTGCAAATGTCCTGCCTCCTGCTCCTCTGGAGTGCCAGGGAAAGACAGAAAGGGCCACCTCGGTGCCTGGCCCCTTCTGCCAGCATCACACACTCACAGAGCAGCTGGGGTTGGCAGGGACCTCTGGAGGTCATCTGGTCCAAGACCCTGCTGAAGGAGGGCCACCCTGAGCTGGATGGACCCTGTGCACCGCTGAAAAGAGCCAAGCTCCATCTTCTTTGCACCCTCACTTCAGATACTTAAGGAGAAGAACCCCTGAGCCTTCTCTTCTCCAGGCTGAACAGTCCCACCTCTATCAGCCCCTCTTCACTGGAGAGATGCTCCTGTGCCTTCCCCATCTTGGTGGGCCTCTGCTGGACTCTCTCCTGTCCGTCTCTGTCTGTCTTGTCCTGGTGGGCCCAACACTGGATTCAGGGCTCCAAGCACACGAAGGTGGTAACTTAGGACACTTGCGAAAAAACAGTGCACAACACCTCTTTCAAGAACATTAAGGGATACAGTGGACATGCAACGTCAAATAAAGTAGCACCTGAATACAACAGTTTGAAGAATGCAAATTTTTTGCAGAGAACCCCGAGATGGCACCACTGTAAGCTCTCTGAACACAGAGAGTGAAACCAGAGGGCACATATGGGGTACCTCTGCACAGGAGTGTTTTGGTCTTCTGAACCCCTTCTGTGATTTTTGGTACAGATTTTTGGTGATGTCCTTTGGCTGTTTCAGCAGCTCTGCAGGGTCCATCAAGCTCATTGGAAGAATGCCAAATGTGTCGAGATAATAGAATGAAAACAGATGGCTCAAATGTAAGCTTTTGTCATGACTGCAGGTCCCAGAAGGTCAGCTCTAAACTAAGCCACCCTGATGAACACTGCAAGAACTCAGTAAATCAGTGCTTAAGGTAAGCCTCCTACCCAGTGCAACCAAGAGTTTACTGAGTGCTTCCAAGTGGCTCATTTCACTTTAAGAAAAGAGCTTTTGAAAAAGCTGCAGCATGTCCTATGTGAAAAAGAAACAACCTTGATCCTTACCTGTTTCCAGGCCGCCTTTTGCCCAGAACTTCTAGACATTTTTGGTTATCCAGCCTTGTTCCTGTGCATTCCCAACCACTACCAACGTGCCCTTCTGTACTAATATTTGGTAACCTTCTTAAGGCGAGAAGAGAACTAGGTTAAAAACAACCACACAAAACCCTTCCCCTCCCACACCAGACATTAGTTATTTTCGGTGATGTGTAAAGAACTTCGCTTCCTTCCTAAAGCATGTCATGGGAAGGGAAAGCAGCTGAGGACAAGGAAGGAATGGCAGCTTTCTAACCGTTTTTTCCTGTAGCTAAATACTGTTTGAGGTAGAGAAAACCAAAGGTGCTTCAGAGCATGTCTTGTAGCCCTTACCCTTCTGACATCATAGGAAAATGGTATCTCTTCCTCAGGTGAGACAGATACCTCCATTCAGTACAGCTTTTAAGTGATCCACTCCGACTAGTCAAAGTTGGGCTTGCTGCTGTAGTATTTGTACTTGAGGAAAGAAGAAAGATTCAAGAGTGTCAATACCTCTCTCTTGCTTGTATTGCCAACATCCACAAGAGCAATAAACCTGCTCACATTCTACTGGTCTCCTGTAACACCATGTGATGTCTGTAGGGAAGCAAAACATGATGGTAGTGGCATGCACTTAACAACAGAGCAATGGGAAAAGCATGTGTCCTCCATGAAGTGACTGATACACCGCATCAACCACAGGCGGTCTTTCACCAAGAACAAGAAGGCCTGAGGACAGGCAGGCTCATGAGATCTAACAGCAAACAGCAGTGCAGACCAAAGAGACATCTCACTGCAGTCCAAACAGAAATGAGAGAACACTTCACTAGGATGCAACCAACTACTTCTTTAAGGTGTTCCCTGTGGAAAGGATAACCACCTTAGTGTGAGAAACTGGACTTTAGAAACTGACAGAAAACAGGACGTTTCAAAGTTTGCTTGCTGCAAGGTATCTGCTGCCTGTGTACATGATATGACAACAAAGGAGGTACATCCTTGGTTCTAAAAGCAACTGTATCTTGTTTAGCCCAAGAAACTCATCCACTGTGTAGGATCCAGCACTGCCCAGCGGGGCAGAGGCAAGGGGGGCTTGCACAGCAACCATGTTGGACAATAATTGGATGAGCATGGGTAACTGTCACGTTGATTGGTCAAACTATGAGTCGACAGGGACTATAAATTACCGTTGCACCCCACTACAAATGGGACCCTCACAACCATTGACCCTCGCCATCGTC